TTGCTCCTGAAGGAAAGGGTACATTTTCTGGAGTGCCTGGATGAATCAGACCATTTTCCACCCTTGGATCACAGAAGAGCCTGTTATTCTAACTAAGGAGGTCAGAAGCACTTTCCTGAGGTAATATAAGAGGGAGCCAAATATTAGAAGGCAGAGTAGTTATCCAGATTATAAGTTTTCATGGGAACAATTGCAAAGATTTCCAGAGCTGAAAACAGAACTGGAAAGAAAGGCATTCCCTTCCCTGCACACAGACCTGCACATGCACATACACACCCTCCGTTTACTGCAGTCCTAGCCTCCGTATCTCACTATCTGTCTCTTCTTCTTGGTCTTTACTGCATGGTTATAGTTCAAGGACTGCAATCCCTGCAATCAGGACCACTACACTTGTTTGACTTTCTCCATTTTAGATACCAGCGTGGCCATCCCTCCTGGGGGGTGATTTCTCACTTTCTGTCTCTCTGTCTCTGTCTGTCTGGCGAGCGCATGCACCCTATAGCAAAAACCTCTCAAAAAAAAAAAAAATGCAATTCTTTCCAACGTGATGCTGGTCTGCTTAGCCTTGACAGTGACCCCTAGGACCAACAGGATGAGATCTGAACTGCTTAATGTGTCTTAGGAGGCTTTTCAAAGTCTGGCCCTTTTCTCTCCAGTCTCTGACTGCCCCACCCTAGCTCTGCTGAGCTTCCTGCAGCTTCTGAACATGCTGTACTCTTGTACTTCTTTGCAATCACGCATGCTTCTCCCTTTGCCTATAACAATACTCCTGGCATTTGCCCCCCAGCGAACTCCTCCTCATCCCTCAAAGCTCAGCTCAAATATATATCCTTGGTAGAGAAAGATAGCAAGAGAACAAATAGAGAGGCATGACATTAGTAGGACACAGATATGGTTTATTACCTGTTGATGATGACATGTATAGTATTCTCAACTGGATTGGTTTGAGGATTATTTCATGTTGGGTAAAGTCTTTCTACAAGCAGAATGAGAAATAGTGATTGACTGTTTAAAAAAATAATTGGAATAATAATATTAATAATTGGGAAAAAATTAAAAGCTCTCAGATGATGAGAAGGGGAGTCTGTATTGACTTATATATATATATATATCTCCCCATCCTTGGGAGGAAGCATTCTAAGACCTTCTCCCCACTCCTTCAGTCTAGATTAGATGCCACATTATCTGTGCTTCATTAACACCCTGATTCCCTTGATCATAATCCTCAAAACGATGAATTGTCGTTGGCTATTTACCCGGCCTGTAAGCTCCTGAAGAGCCAAGGACTCTGACTTCTGTATATCATCTTTATATTCTTGGAACTTGACACACAGCAGGAGTTCAATAAGTAGTTACTGATTGCAGTCATTCATTTTTCCAACAAAGTTACACATCAAGTTCAAAGAATCAGAGAAATCGAATTGAAAGCCAGTGTTCTAGGCAGTGTAACTTAGAACTTTTCAGGAGTGCTTGGGGTACACCTTTCTTGTTTGCTGAGATGGTATCATTGGCCAGTGTGTTCTTTCATACAGCAGAGGTCTGTGGAGTTGGGACTGTGGGCTGGGAGTAGGTTTGTTCCACAGCCCTCTGATGGCAACTTGGTTTGTGCAGACCTTCCCCAACCTGGGCCCCCGGGTTTCTTTCTGGGTGGAGATCATCATCTGAAGGAAAGGGGATTGCTCCAAGCCAAGAAGTTTTTACTTTTACCAGTCTTTTCTACGTTCTGCTGTCCAAGCAATAGGAAGATTGAACCCTGTTTGAATCTTGACAGGATCGCGTTTCATGATCCCAGAAAAGTGTTTGTGTAACCTCAAGCCACACTGGAAGTGAAATACAGCTTCAAGTGGGATTCTGCTGGACCTGACTCAACTTTTCATCTTACCACTTGGCTCGTGTGCATGTGGTGTTTGAGTCTGTGGTTCCCCCTGAAATCTGTAGGAGTTGTAGATGCCAGCCAGATCCAAGGCCAGAGTGCTTGCTTCCCCGTCAGTAAAGAGAATTTTAGAAATTTAACAACCACCATTTATTGAGCCTCTGGTATGTACAAGACCTAATGCTGAGTGCTGTGAGTGATGTAGGGAGATTAGGGCTAGAGCTCCATCTTCAATAAGCCTCCCGCCTAGAGAGAAAGGCCAATAGGCAAAGTCAGAGATAAGACATGAGAGTGGAAGACTTACCACAGGCCCAGTAATTAACTTGGTGTCCAGAGCTTTCAAGGAAAGAACGCCTTTTATTGAACTTTGTACCAGATACAGGTACATAGTTCGATAATGGCTTCTGAAGTCTATTATTGTTTTTAACCTTCTTATTACCCTTATCTTGCAGTTAGAAAACAGAAACCTTAACATGTAGTGGATCTGAGCTCAGAAAATTAAATTGGGAAATAAGCCAGTAGATTGAGGTGGAAGAGGGTTCAGGATCATGAAGAGGAGTGGTGTTTATGGGGGATAGAGGAGCCATCCCCTTCTGTATTTGCCCTCGGGAGATGGGAGAAAGTCTGAAAAAAGGATCTCTAAGATCCAAGAAATTAGGGCTAGAACAGCCCTATTTCATGAGGCTAACTGCTAAACTGGAATTGAAAGCCAGCAGTAGAAGGATTAAGCAAAACTTCTTAGAGGAAGGATAAAAAAGAGCATAATTTCTGGTAAATTTCAGGACATTGTGGGCCAACCAGTTGGCATGGTAGTTAAGGTGGCTGAATCCCACAGACCTACGACCATAGTTCAAGTCCCAGACTCGGTAGCTTAAAAAACACACCTGACATGTATGCACGCATGCCCAAAATCCTGGGAAGAGAATGGAGAAGGAGGGAGTGCAGTGTGGCCATCCTCCTGGGAACTGCTTTCTCATATATTCTTTCTTACACACACATGAGTACACATGCCCTATTGAAATTTAAACATATATATATATATATATAGAGAGAGAGAGAGAGAGAGAGAGCGCGTGCGCTAAGGACACAGTCTCTGCACCTGTCAGGTGATAAAGCATCATTTTACCACAGTAGGAAGTGAGGCTACTTGGAGGGGATAAGCGAAATGTAGGGATGGAGTGGTGTACAGGACAGACAAGTTCCATTCTCTTTACTTCAGACTTGAATCATGTCTGTTTGTACAAGCCCTTCCCTGACCACTTGTCAGGGTACCTGAGCAGGGAGCCTGGAGCCCCCTGGCAGGTTGTATGTATGAGGGTCTTTTCTTTCCTGGCTCTGAGTTTGACTCTGGCTAGGAGACAGCACTTTCTGCCCTGTGGTTCTCACTGTGTAAGCACTTTCGAAAAGAAAGGGGAAAAAGCTTAATTTTTTTTCCCTTCACAAAATGGTACAGTCACTGGCACTCAAGCTATAAATGCATTAAAATGTTACAGCTCTTGGCAAATATTTCTTTTTTTCTTTCAGGTATATAGAAAAAGCTTAGCTTTTATTTCTCTACCTTTTTATTTTAACAAAAATATATTAAATAAATATTTGAGTAGGTGATATATGTAATGGATACACAACTCTGTTCCTCTTAGAGAGATTTTTTTGCTGTAGGGTGGATGCACTCACCAGAGAGACAGAGACAGAGAGACAGAAAGCAAGAAATCACGCCCTGAGGAGGTGGCCACACTGCAATCCTTTCTCCTCCATTCTCCTCTCAAGATCTTGGGCATGTGCACACACTAGTGTGAGTTTGAAGCTCAAACTCACAAATTGCAGTTGACTATGTGGGATTCCAGCAACATAACTGTTATGTCATCTGCTGGTCCCTTCTTTCCTGGGGTAACCAATACTACCAGTTTCAGGCTGTGATTTTGTGGTGTTTTGCTGATTGCTGTGTCACTACAGAAAAGACATGACTATCTGTTCACCAACGAATCCAAATCTCTACTATGGCCAGGCACTGGCTACTGGAGCCTTAGGCTTGGTGAAGTCTTACTAAGAACTTGATTTTCTTGCCTACAATGTGAGCAGAATGAAATCTCAGTGCCCTCTTCTTTACTAGTGAGCACATTTCCATCTGCAGGACCAAACTTTTCCATTCAGAAAGCTGTTGGACGTGAGAGCTTTGAAAGTGTTTTAGTCCCCATTTTGAAATCCAGCCATGTGTTTCCTCTTAAATGACATGACTGGTAGCTGCCACTTGTGGTTACTTAATACAAACCCCTATTGCCAAAGGGCTCAAGTGGGTGTCTGCTCATTGATTTTGCCATCCAATATGAAGGGCACCTTTTTCTTTTACCACTAGTTCATCAGTCTTGACTCTTTCACCACAAGCCCACTGAGACAGGAACTATGCCTGAGCCATCCTTATACCTTGGCAAGTAGGTGTTCAGTAAATGTTTTCAGGGTTTTTCAGAAAGACGTATGAGGTCACATGCCCAGGAGAAAGAAGGATGCTGGGAATGAGCGATAGGCAATTTCTCATTGACCTTCCCCACGCCCTGGGTTAGTTGTTGACTCCCTCAGCAACGGGACCCTGGCTTCTTGACCCGCATCAAGTGGTTTGATATCACTAGGTTTTCAGGAAAAAGTGGTCACGGCTGCTTCCTTATTCCAGTGCCTGCTGATAGAAATTCATACTGGCTGGTCTTTCTTGGTTACACCCTGGACTCCTCTGTGAGGAAACGGAAAGTACTGGATTAATGACTGTGACTAATTACGGCTTAGTTCCTTTGTTTAGGAATGCATCTTTCTTGCTATTCGTTTACCTTGAGAAGTAAGAGAGAGTGGGTTGCAGGTTGCAGATGTGGCGTACTGGGCTAAGAGTCCGTAGAACCGGATTCTACTCCTACCCAGCTATGCAACCTGGAGCATGTCACTGCCCTTCCCTCTGCCTCAGTTGCCCTGTCTGTACAATGAGTTGGGCCATGTATTCGCTGTGGCACTTCCTTATTCAACGAGCTATGATTTGGGACCCCCTTTTACTAATGCGTGTGTTCCTTTGACCATCCCTTGGCTTTACCTGTCCCCAGACCCCACGTGGCAGTTAATAATGTGGATCTCTGTTTCGTGCTTCTAGGTTTTCTTCGTGTCTGATCTCTTCAAGACCAAGACAACACTCTCACTGCCTCCACCTGCTATCAGGAAGGAAATCCTCTCACCTGTGGACATTATCGACAGGAACAATCACCACAACATGGTGTAGTGCCTCCCACCGCCTGAGCTGTTTCTGTAAAATGACTGCTGACAGCAAGTTCTTGCTGCTCTCCAATCTCATCAGACAGTAGAATG